TGATGAAATGAAATTTTCCATTGTGTTTTCTTCATGCTTTGTGATATGTTTTTCTTACTCTTTCTTCTTATTAGGAAATAGTGGCATGAGAGAATTATATCATTGTTTTCTTTTTACTATTATTTTGCAATGAGTAGGATTCATGTTTAGGATTTTAGGATGCATTATTGAAGAAGTTTTAATTATAAATTTGATGGTTTTTACTTGCACTTCATTTACATTACAATAAGGGTCCGTTGTAGTGTTAAAATTTGTTGTAATTATATTAAGACCCGAGAGGGCGGTGCAATTTTCAACAAAGTGGAACCACATTCAAATTCCATGAATGGTGAAGTTCATGGGGGTTAAGTGCAAATAAATAGGGAAATATATATATTACTGGGCGAAGAATTGGAGATTCTAGGGTGACAGACTAAAATCCCCAATTTGGTCTTAGTCTTTAAGAACTAAAGCGAGAGTTAGCCTTCAGGGGAAGGGAAGTGGGAGCTCTGAAGTGAGAGCTAGTATCCTCCCAGTGTAACCATGGATTTAGATACTAAACATAAGATTAGCCAACGATTCTCTATAACACTTGATTGAGGGTAGATAATTAAAATTGCTCCTATTTGGCACATACAATATTTAATGTATCTCTTTCCTTTACATTATATAATTCATTACATAAGAATAGTAGTTTTTAACATCTTAAAATTCTCCAAATCAATTTATCCAGAAAGGGCTATCTTTAGAATTAATAATTACATTTAGGAATAGTTACTATCCTTACATTTAACATTTGCATTTAGGAGTAGTTGCTAGATAAAACACCATTTTAATCGACATTCCAAACTAAGGACTAATAGTAGTAGACTGGAATTTAACTAAGGACATCTTTCCTCGCTTCCTTGTGGGATTAATATTCGGGGCTAAATCAGAAAGTTCTATATTACTTGAAGCGATACGTGCACTTGCGTAGCGTATGAAGTGATACGTGCACTTGCGTAGAACTCATAGTGAGTGAACTATTTACTATATTTTATAACATTTCATTAACGCACATTAACTACTTAATATAAATTGGGTCAAGTTATTGGCCATATTTTTTAAAACTAAATTTTTGCATAATTTTGGGACAGGTCAAATTTTTGGCACTGTACCAAGGATTTAAACTGATATAAAACACACAGAAAAATAGCACACGCTAGGGGTGCATCAAGTGGTCAACCATTGAATCTACTAGAGCATCAATCCTTGGTAGCAAGCATGCAACCTTTTGGCAGGTTAAGTTTAGGTTGGTAAAATCTACGCACAACCTCCCTTTATGTTAGCCTTCTGTATCATCTCCACGTTGGAGATCCATGTCTTGACTGCGCTTCTCGAATGTAACATGCTTCCTCCAACTTTTGCACCTCCTCTCGATTAGATCCCAACAGCGTATCTGAGCTTCTTATCTTCTACTTCACGGGTCCAATCGATGTTTCAACATTCAATCTGTGACAAGCAGCATCAATCAGCATGCATGGCATTTTAGTGATCATCCATGTGAAGACATCTCGTCATTCCTAGAGGGTATGGATCGGTATCTCCCTGTGTCCTGCATCAAAAGCTTCACTTATTAGAAAACATTTACTTGGCTCACCCTCGATAGCCAGGACTTCAAGGGTGGCCTCATTGATCTTGAAACTTCCCTCACAATCTAAATGTCCAGAGGCATGTGTTCTAGATTGCTTATGGCTCACAAGCCAGATCGCACCTAACTATGATGATTTCTCTATCTCTAGGAAATTTGACAGTGACATGATAAGTGGAGACCACAACCCTGAAATCATTGAGGAGCGTTCAAGCATCAAGATAAAATCTTTTGTTAGTGTAAACTACCTCTCATCCCCCCCCCCCCCCCCGTCCGATAATTTCCAACGTTTCTGTCCTTTTGCCAAAGAAATCATATAGTGGTCTGATTGGTGTATTGATTTGATCTGCAAAGAGGCTTAACTTGTCAAAAACATGCTTGAATGCCACATTTACTAAGCTCCATGCATCAATGAGGACACTTCCTACTTTTTAATTATTGATTATAGTTGTTATCACGATAACATCATTACAGGGATTTATCTTTGGCAGCAGATCCTCATCACTGAAGTAAATAAGCGGGTGGCCTCTGAGTTTTGAGGCAAAGGCTATGGTATAGAGTTTCCATGTTTATTATCTCTTCTAGCTTACACTCCTTATTAGTTCACCTCCTTCAAAGATGCAAGCACATATCCCATGATGAAGATGGCGTTGGAGTGGATGGGTCCGTTGAATGTTCCCCCCATGGGAGTTTTTCCCTGCCTCTGGGTCACAGCTCTAAAGAAAACAATTTATTTTAGCTTTCCCTCTTTTTTTTGCTCTTTAATTTGGCTTTGGAGCCGCCTGCATTCTTCCGTATCGTGTCTGTAATCCCTGTGATACTTGTATTATTTTTTATTTTCTCAGAGAAATTCTTTGGTTCTCATTGGTGGTGCCATTTTGAAGATATCCTTGTCTTGAATAACATCCACTATTTCTGTCATGGTCAGATGTAGTGGAGTTTCGTGAAGGACTTCGTTGTTTTAATGTGATTGCTCATGATAATGGGATGATCGATGGTGTTGAGCCTTCATTTGTCTCCTCTGATCCTAACGACGATGGGTCGAGTGGTTTTTGTGGTGGTTTTGATAGCATAGGTGTGCTCGTTTTGTCTTTGTTTCCTTCTGCTTTCCTACAGAGGTATGTTTCTGTGTCTTTGTTTGATAGGTTCAAGGGCATTTTCATAGACAAGTATGTACTTATTAGTCATCTCTAACAGCTAGGTCAGGCTCTACGTCTCCGTGAGGTCAAGGTCGAAGTGGAATCTCTCTGTGTCAGTTTTTAAGGTTTCACATCCAATGTCTCACTAAAACGTGTAATAAATGATCATAAGCTCTTGACGAATTATTATTTTAGTTGCCATAAGGTTCGGGCACTCTTCATGGGTCTTAAAATGCTAGCAAACTTGGATAAAAAGAGCTTCTTAAATTCTACAAAATAGTTGATCACTCACGTAGGTAACCTGTTAAACCATCTTAGTGCAGATGACCTCAGTGTTGTGAAGAATAGCTTGCACTTAAGGGCATTAAATATTTTCACTAGGCATATGGAGGATTCAAATAACGTGAGGTGGTTGTTAGTGCCCGACCGTCCTTTATTTGACTCTGGGACGACCATCTTAAACTTCTCTATGTGTTTAGGTTTAGTGACTTGCAGTAAGAATGTGTTCTCTGGCTATCGTGGTACCTCGGTCTGCACCAATCAATTCCTCTTCTTGGAGGCTGATCCAACATTATCCTGATATAACCTATCATCAAACTTCTTCTGCAGGTGGATTATGTCTCTCTCGTTGTTTGTTGGCAGTTCCCCTTAAGGGAGCTGAGTGCCCCTTGTTGGGCAGGTTTCTTCTCCTGGAACTGGAGCTATTGTTAGGGCAAGGACCGCTCTGAGTACCTCTACGAACTGTTCTGACATATGGTTGTTGATTTGGGTCCTTAAGCCTTGTAAGCCTTGCTGGATGAATTCCTCCATGAATTCTCTAGAGCATGTTGCTTCTACCATGTTCCTCTGAATGGATTCTCCCTGCTATTATTGCTGAGTTCTTTTTTTTTTTTTTTTGACGTCATGTTTCTACGCTCACCACACCTTAAAGGACGCTGAATCCAAGAGTGTCAGGGAAACACACCCAAGGTATTGAACATTTTATAGTGAAATATATGTGAGAACACAATAAGAATGTGTAGTTTTTATTCATGATATGGACCCTCTATTTATATTAATAGGCCCAAGTCTTACAAAATTACAGACCATTTCTCTTATTGTTAGCCCTAAGAGAGAACTATAATAATAACAAAGACATTTGAATATAATAAGAAGGGCAGATTGATTCACTCGGTAAAAGGTTCGTGGGTCGCTTGCCTCACCTTAAACCCATCGGTAATTGATCTGAAGTTGAGTAATCTGCCAACCGGTCTGAGAATTGACCGTCATCTTGTGGGAAATTTTTTGACACATTCTTCCAGTCACTCGATCTATATGTCTTCTTCTTTAGCATTCAATTCGTCCTTTGTCAACAAACATGTTTGATCGGTCGTTTCTTCCGCCCGAGCCGTTCATTTTCCTTGAGATTTGTGCAGACATGTTTTTTTATACACTATATTATGTGATAAATTATCACAATTTAGTACAAATGGTCAAATGATGAGATTCAATTTTTCTATTTTCATTCTCTATTAATAACAAATTACAATCCAAATTTAGCCACTAAATAAAGTAATTCAATTAACCAATTATAATTTTACGTTTCCATTTGCTAACTTTGCCTTCTATAGCTATTTTTTTATCTAGTATTTATCTTTTATTCAAAGAGTAAATATGCAAAATACTAAAATAACATAATGAATTATTCAAAATAACTCAAGGGAACAATTACTCTTCTAAATTACAATAACTCAAAGAAAATACTACAATATGCATGTCGTTATTTCCCAATGTCTCAAAAAATGATACAATAAAAATCATATATTTATAATGTTTGCTCATCAAAGAAATATAGAATTTCTACAAACATTATATTTTACTTTACTTTTTATGATTTAATCTTTTAAGTTTAATTCACATTTTACTCTTTAACTTGTAAATACGTATCTCGAGCACCTTTTAAACATAAATTAACACATCTTTGATTGCTACATAACATGTCGACACAACAAAGCACAAACTAGGTCCACTATTGTCTGAGGCAAAATATTACATACTCATTCCTGACTAATATTATCCAGTCGCTTTTTTTCATACAAGGAATCAAATGCCAATGATACTCTTTTTTCACATTACAATAATTCTACGGCTCCAGAGAATTCATTTCTATCACAGTTTTATCCCAAAGGTTCAAAGCAGTAATCACCGCCTCAGCCTCTACACAAATAGAAGAATAAATAACCAAAAACCACAACAGACAAGCACCAAAATAATTCCTCTACAAATAGTTCCTCTAATTTTACACATGAATAATATAACAAATTGCTCAAAGCTCAACATAATACAACAACCAAACTCATGAGGAAAAAAAAGTTTACAACCCTCCAAAATTCTACCGCTTAGATAGAGAACAGAATTCACTAGCCTTACTCCCAGCCATTCAATCGCATAAACAAAATACCCTGCTAAAATTCGCATAATAATCCGGTTCCTAAGAAGCAAGGACCCTTCATGGCACAAAACCCCCAAAACCCAAAAAAATGTAAAAACTTAGAATTAATTATTAAAATCAATAAGCCTCTACCCTCAACCTCTTGACATCCCGTTCTTCACTCTCCACGGTTCTTTTTCCCAACCTCTCATCTTCGTCTCCATTTTCAGCACCATGTTCTTGCTGATCCCGGAACAACCAACCTGGAAAATCTGATTCAATAAATAGAGATGTCGGCGTTTCCCTGTAAAAAGCAACCGGGCATTGCTTAATTCGGCGCCGAACCTGTATGCCAATATTTAGATGGATCAGTTAGTTTTGCCAACGCCATAATAGAGGAGATGGAGCCAGAGGTCTACGCTCACCTCGTCTCTAAAGATTGTGGCATAAGAACCAGAACTAAAATCTGAAATAGACATTTCAGATGTTTTGGCCCTTACTGTCAGATCACTCTCCAGTGAAGCAACAAATCTGTTACACTATTGATGTCAATAAGAAAAATAATGGTGAAGAGAAGGAGAAATGGAGCTTTTTCTTACCTCGAAACAGCAGGACAATAGTGATGCAGGAGGGTGCCAATTTCCCATAAAGAACTTCCTGAGATAAGATCAAATTGAAAGTGCAAATCACACAGGGATGACCCAAGACTGGGGATGTAAATGAGTTGAGTCGAGCTCGAGCCACCATCTGCTTCAGCTTGAGCTCGATTAATCAATCGAATTCGAGCTCGAGCACAAACTCGATTCTAGAAGTTCGAGCAGGCTTGTGTTTATTACGAAACAGAACAATATTAATTCAAGCTAAAATGACAAATAGAATGGGCATTTAAAAAATAATTAATAAGAAATCACTTAACATAAAATGTAAAATATTATTTTTAAAATATTTTTAATAATTTAAAGATAAATTCTTAAATTTAAATATACTTTGAGTATGTTTTCTAATAAATATTTTTTTTAACAAGCTAGCTCACGAGCTAACAAATCGAGTTGGGGCTAGCTTGAACTTGGCTTGTTAGCTCATCGAGCTCAGTTCAAGAGCCACTTATTGAGAAGCTGGCTCAGGTGGCAGCTAGACTTAGTTACACCCCTTACCCAAGACAATGTAGAAAAATGCAACTCCAAAGAGAGAGTTTGTTCAGGAAAAACTTAGGGCTACATTTAGATCAATAATGTTAAAAAATACAGAAAAAAAAAAAAAAGAGCAAAAGTAGGACACTGAAAGGAAGTCAGGTCTCCAGAGAGATCTGATAAGAACAACAAGAAAAGAAAAGATTTCCAATCAAATAGAGTCAAAAGTCCTTGTAAAGAAACTTACGCATTGCATTAGATTTAAGAGGGTTTGGCTCCTCATTGTCAAACGGATCAACACCATTTTTTACACTTCGAGCAACAGGATCAGCATCAGACTTCCTTAGAATCTCTCTAGAGTCAGCACCTTCAACAGAAGCATCTCCATTCACATGATCATCAATTTCCTGGAAAGGTGAAATAGTAATCATAAATACAGCACTTCGCTCAAAGAATGTAAGAATTCAGTCGATGAATAAAAATAAACGCAATATGAGAAAGTGATTAAACATGATAAAATTATGTCAAACACATGGAAGCTCAGGTTAAATGTAAATAGAATTTAGACGGAAACTTGTTAATTGAAGCAATTTAAGAGCAGCGCAGAAGATAATCATTTAAAATCCATTTCAAAATTATCTCCTTAACATCTAACCTGTTCTAAAAGAAACAGTGCAACTTTTCCCTTCTTTTTCAATTGGAGAAAGTGTCAAAATAGTCCCCTGACAATTTGCATAGGGTTATTTTAGTCCCAAAGTCTATAAAAGTGTCAAATTAATCCCCAAACTCATCCCCAAACTCTTTTAATATTCCCCAAACTCTTTTAATATGGGTTGAAATAATCCTTAGGGGAAAAAATATTACATCAGTACTACGCACGTAGAGTAACATGCGTACCTAATGAAATCACGCCACGATACCCCGCACGACGCAGAAAAAAAAACGGCGCAGTAACACGGGGAATATTCCCCCCCGTGTTATTAATGTGAATGTGTTATTGTGTGTTATTCATGTGTTATTCATGTGTTATTGTATCCTGAGAATATTTCTGGTGTTATAATTACACAATAACACATGAATAACACATGAATAAGACATAATAACACAAGAATAAAACGGGAGAGAATATTCCCCCGTGTTACTGCGCCGTTTTTTTTCTCTGGCGGGAATATTTCCCGTGTTATTCAAGTGTTATTGTGTGTTATTCATGTGTTATTGTATCCTGAGAATATTCTTGGTGTTATAATAACACAATAACACATCAATAACACATGAATAACATGCAATAACACATGAATAACGCGCAATAACACATGAATAACACAGGAGAGAATATTCTCCGTGTTACTGCGCCGTTCGTTTTGCATCTGCCACGCGAGATGTCGTGACGTGTTTTGATTGGCTACGCTCGTTATTTTTACGTGCGTGTACTGATGTAATATTTCTTCTCCTTAGGGAGGACAATTTTAGCCCTCATTAAAGAGTATGGTGATTAAATTGTCACTTTTTTATGGACTTTGGACTAAATTAGATGCCTACAAAGAGTTGGGAGACTATTTGACACTTTTCTATTAAGGTGTAAGATGTGATGGAAGGGCTGTTCTGGCTAAGTTTGTTCAATTTAAGAGTAGTCAGTTGAGAAACTATACCTGATGCACCAAAAAGTTGATTGAAGGGTGCCTCCGGAGGAGATTATGAGTTAAAGCAATAATAATCAGTTCTCCTGATGGTGGTGCTGATAAAGCCAATCTGCTTAGTTTTTTGGCAAAAGCCGCAGCAAGATAAGCTGGTAGATGTGAAGATTTCAAACAGGTATCCAGGAGCTACAAAACATGCATGAAATATTAGCAACATTTATCCAGATCACATTGCCCATAAAAGAAGATATAATTGAACTGAGATGGATAACAAAGAAGACTACTAAATTTTTCATTAGATTAATAAATACGAAATATAAACCAGTTAAGGAGTCTGCCTGATGAAAATAAATCCTGCTTAATCCACACATAGTACTTTAAAAACTTTTTTCTAGCTAAGCAAAGCATCGTACAGGCTTAAAAAAGAAATCTGCTAGATTAACCCTTGTTATCAGCAAAAACAATGTGGCTGACGAGCTATGAGCTCATGAGCTCAATGAACCCGTGTTATCAGCAAAACAATATCGCTGACAAGCTATGAGCTCAATGAACCATTAAAAATAGTTCTCAAAATGCACCTACTTTATGCGCAATGTCTATTTCCATGCTTTAATTTTATAGAATAATAGATCATAAAAAATTTGAGAAAGATTAAGTTGCAAAGTTTATCCTCTACAGCAGCATGCAAGCAAAAACATAAATAAAAAAAATCTTTGTCCAGATACATGACATCCACAACAACAAGCCTTTATCCCACTAGGTGTGGTCAGCTACATGAATCCTTCGTTCTCCATCGTGCCCTACTGAGTGTCATATTTTCAATTAATTCTAATAAATTAAGATAATTTTTATACATGTCGAAGTCTTTTTAGGTCTACCTCTACCTTTCTTAACATAAGTCGAATCTAAACATCTACTCTCCTAACCGGAGCATCAGATGATTGACGTTTAATGTGACCAAACCACCTAAGACGACCGACTCTCTTTAAACGTGTTTGCCACTGGAGCTACAACAACCATTTCACAGATATATTCATTTTGCAATTTGTCTCTAAGTGCAAAGTCATTCATCCACCTAAGCAATTCTCATCTCAGCAAAACTTAACTTAGGGCCCCTATGGGGCAACTCCAGCTATTTAAAGAAGCAGCTATGAAGCTACTATAGAAAAAACTGTTCTTCAAAAAATTGCGGTGGCTACTACCAAATTTTTAAAAAATTTGACCACAGTTTTCTAACAACCACCACACTTTAACAACAAAAAAATAATTTTCTACCACATAATTTTAAAAAAAATGCAAAAAAAAATTTCTCCAAATAGAATTGTGGTTTCGATCTGAAAAGCAAATCATGCAAAAAACTGTTACAAACATATCCTTAATTTTATGCTTCACTTTAATCAGCCCAACATTCAGCGCCATAAAGCATCGCAGGTTTCACCACAATTTTATTAAATTTTCCTTTTAAGTCTAGAGACATGACATGATAAAAAAAAACACAAGCATAGCAACATTTATGAAAGAATAAGACTAAACTCGTATGAAAAACAAGCTTGTATCAAAGCATACATATCTTTACAGAATGTAATAATTTCTTTTAACCAATTAAAATAAGTAAAAGCAAGGCCTATTTACAAACGCATTTCATGCATGTTTACATGCCACAAATGATTGGGTGAAGAGAGAATCAAAGAGGGAAGCAAACATAGTAGAATGTAAAATAATTGAAAGGAGGACATTTTCACCTCCCGAATTTCACAATTGCACAGCAGAAAAATTAGCAGTTTGACAACCAATGATTTGGTGAAGGGAGAATCACAAAAAGGAGGGAAACATTTTAGAATGCAAAATAATTGAAAGGCGGACATTTTCACATCCGGAATTTCACAATTGCGCAGCACAAAAATTGGCAGTTTGACCACTAATCATGCCTAACCACCAATTTACATGACTAAAGTATGAGATTGGGTGGCACAATAAGAAAACAGTTAGATTTTTTGTCGTCAAACATGGTGTACAGCATTTTTTTCCTGTCAAAATACAAATATCATACAAATATAATTGAATAGATAAGAACTAAAAAACATGATAAGAAAGAATATCTCCATGAGTGGATACAATAATTTTGCCCAAGCAATAAGAATATACTTACCATATATTGCTTTTATCAGTAATAGCATCTTAAGATTTACCATATTTTTGTGGAAACAAAGTAGTTGATTAAGAAAATCAGTAGTGACATGACTAATAAAGAAATTGCTTTCAAAGAAAAAGTTCAACTTCTATCACAATCATTTAAAATCTAGTTAAATATTCAAATCCAACGTCAAAAATTTCACTCTATTCAGAAATGTTAAAACCAGAAAATATACTCGAAACAAATTAATCCACATTCCATCCTAATCCGGATATGTAAAACAATACCTAAATCTACAAAAGATTGGTCACAGTGCATATCATTTTGATCATATTTCTGTTCACGTTTATAGTAGGAATGTATACCAAATAGCCAAATACCGTTCATAAACCTGGTTGCATCCAGTCATGCACATATTGAAAATTATCTTTGAATATTAATTCATATTAAAATTTATAAAATGACATTTATGATATCTTCCTTGCACCCAGTTTATAAAAAATTGGAACGTGAAGTTTATAAAAAATTGGAACGTGACAGTGCTACTGCCAAAAGTTGACCTCAGCAGTCAACAAAGAGGAACTTTTTACAAACAGATAAAAATTGGCTTTAGCTTCACTCAAGGATGGTAAGGAAAATCAACCAACTGGATGCAAGTTTAATATTTAGCCAGGTTTGAACGGTTACAATATCTTCGATTTATCATATAGAAAAATAAAAAACAAACTAGGATGTGACTTTAGATTTCATTTCGGGTGCTTATAAATGAAAAGTGCCTGGAAAACTAGTGATAACGTATATCATGGAGAATTAATTATTTTTTAAATTCAGATAAAGTCAACTAAGTTGTATGGACCTTTTAGGTAGAATTAAAAACTCCAATGGCGAAGTTGAAACTAAAGTAAATGTGAATATTAAGATGAGTGTGAAAATGAAAACGTATAAATTGAAATGATTATATTGAGGAACAACTCAAATAAAATTTATTAAAAATAAGATAGCTGAAAATAGACTTAGGTGATCTAGAAATGTACATCAAAGGGTAAAATAGGGCATAATATTGTAAATTATAGCCTATAGCATAGTGTAATGCACTTCTCTCTTTAGTATTTAATTATGAATAAATTATTCATATTTTTTTAAGATTATGCACCGTTTTTAAATAATGCACAGCTTCAAAAGACTTTTACAGTGGTGCGCAATTCACTATTGGTGGCTTGAACAGATAAAAATGTTTAGTGCAGCGTGTGAGGTTATGGTTTGAAGTTTATGGGGGTGAAGGAAAGGGATATATGGTGGGAGAAATGCCAAAATATTTCAAATTAGACCAGCTTGGTTAATTGAATATCTGACGCGGGTGCGGGAGTTTCCCTCACGGATGCGAGAAACAAGCCAGCCGGCTGAACCGGTTGGCATAGGGGCCAGTCCAGGAAGGCCTGGTCCAAGATTCCAAACGAATTGAGCAAAATTTAGGGTGGCACCTGCGGCGGCTTTCCTTAACTGTCTCCCACCAGTTCGATCAGCTTTTGGAGAGCGGTTTTCCTTTCATGTCTCCCACCCAGGTCGAGCAGCTTCTAGAGAGCGGCTTTCCTTTCATGTCTCCCATCTAGATCAAGCAGCTTTTGGAGAGGGCGACAATGCTGCCAGCGTTTTTCTCCACCTTCCTGTCCCATCATCTTTCCTTTCTTGTGTCCCACCTAGCTAGGTCAATTTATATGCTTGTTTTCTGAGTTCATGGGAAGTTTTTGCTGGTTTGCTTTCAGATTTTCTGTGCGAAATTCTTTTCCCTTTTATAGGGTTGTATCTGAGGAGGTGGTGGTGTTTCGATTGTTTCATACTCCGAGGTGGTGATATATTTTTCCTTTTCATCTTCATTAAACCTTCTCGTCCACTCCCCTTAGCCGTCAACCACTCCATTCCTTTCCCAGCCACCTCCATCCCACTTTCCAGTTTCTGCCACCATTTCCTTGCTGCATACTCTTGTTGGCCAATCTTCCAGGCCTATTGTCCCGCCTCCAAGCCTATGTCCAACATTCTAACTGGCAATCCAATCCCTCAAACCCACTACCCAATTTCCCGAACCCGGTTTCCAGGCGCCCAATACCTACTGTACAACCTTTCCAACATCCACACGCACATCCCCAACCTTTCAAACTACCCTACATCCCTCAACCTTTTCCCTTTTCCTCCTTGCCACCATGTCGACACCATCACACCATGGGATCTCCTCTTCCGACCCTAGTCGGAGATTAGTTTGTGTTTGTAATTGTTTTCCAGTTTATGTCGTGTTGTAATCCTATTTCTATATTAATTAAAGGTTGTTTTGCGTTTTCAATTGAATTTTCTACTAATTTTTGTATCATTTGATATCAGAACTAGTCTAATCCAAATCTTATCCCAGGGTTTTCTAGCATCCACTTCCTCTAACTAAATTTTTCATTCCTACCCTCAAGAACCTCTTCCGAAATCTCCACCAAATTTTCCTTCCTATTCCTAAACCCTAGCCATATCACTTTGGAGATTCATGCGCGAGCAGACCCGGGACGAGATAAGGCAAGAGCTTCATCGCCTTCAGCAAAAGTTTGCAGAGATTAAAGAATTAAAACAATAAGTTACCTTCGAGCGAGATCTAGAGAGCCAGAGAGGAGAGAGATGAGGATAGGAATCCGTTCCATAGGGATAATTTTAGCGATGAAGAAGATAGACCACGACGTTTCAGAATCCAGTATCAAAGGAGGTATAGAGAGAGATATTTGAATCCCCCTTAGAGAGAGACTCACAGAGAGGAGATATCATTTGGAGGACATCGAGACTTTGATATCAAGGTAGATTTTCCAGAGTTCAAAGGAGGTATGGATCCTGAGGAATTCATTGATTGGTTACAAGCTGTTGAGCGGATCTTCGAGTACAAAGATGTGTCAGAGGATAGACAGATCAAATTAGCGGTCATCAAGCTGAAGAAGAATGCTTCTCTATGGTAAGAGAGCTTACAGAGGCAGAGGAAAAGGGAGGGCGGCGATAAGATTACCAGGTGTGAAAAGATAAAGAAAGC